GAAATTTATCAGAGCTCAAACCAAGGGTCTTAAGACTTTGGACTTGTTTTGGCTTTGAGCTGGATCTGGTCTCTGGTTCCTCTCTGAGGTCAGAGGATGAACTTTGTTCAGACCCACCAGTTTCTTCCAGTGGTGTGAATCTGTTTTGAAGAAGACTGCTCTCTCCATTTCTCTGGCTSTTATCATTTGTTTTGATTCCAGCCTGTCGCTGCATTCTTCTCCTTGCTGGTGGAGAAAAAGCATTTCTCTGCAATTCTGGCCATTGATTTTTTTTTTTTTTTTTTTTTTGGGCTGGCACCAAGAATTTCATACAGCTTTACTCTCAGAAGCAGCTCCCATCTCCTTGTCCTGTTCTCTCCTCTCAGCCTTTTCACCCATTTGAATGCATGCTGAGTCTTCCAAAGCATTCATCTCTTCCAGACGATGAATCTTGAGCTCCAACTCCATCATCTTTTGGAGAAGCTGGTAAAAATCCTCTTTGTAAAAGAAAGGAGGCATCTTGAAGCTTTTCTGTACTCACTCAGCAGTTGTTTCAAAAATCCTCTCAGGTTCTTCAACAGCCAAAAATAAAATCCATTGTTCTCTGCTTATTCAAGATCATCCATCACGGTCGGTGGTCACCAAATTGTAAGAAAATGATGCGTTATTCAAAATGGTATGTCCGAATAAACAGGAATCCACTGGATTTCTTGTTAAACCTTTATTTTCAATCTTCTGACTCCAATCACGTTCATGCAGCACACAAGACCTCAGCTTTAATAATAATAAATAAATAAAAAAAACCACAGGAGCCCTGCTCTAAAGCAGAGATTCTGCAACACTGACAACTTCCGAGTCTTAAGAAGCACTTTGAAGTTTTCCAAGCTATGAGCAGATCTAAAATGAAAGGGCAAGTTTATTGGGAGCAGACACAGCAAAAGCATGATCACCTCTTCTCCTAAATCTGGATCTTGTAACATCTAAAAGCATCTGGTTGTTTGACCTCATTGTTCTAAATGAAGAATGAACATGCAAAAGATCTTGACGTTAGGTTGAAGCAAGGCCTTTAAAAACAATAAAATCTTAAAATCAATTCTAACCAGTAGCCTGGCCCTTACCTTCATACGCAACTCCACTCAATTCTAGTTTCATACGCAACTCCACTCAATTCTAGTTTCCCCTCACTGCTCCGTCTGGGACTTCTCCCATTGAGATGGATTTCGCTGGCAGATTTTTAGCCAGGCCAATCAGACAAGAGAACGCCAATTTTCTGCGCAGTGTCTCTTGTAGTTTATTTTACCTGGGCCAATCAGCAAATAGAAGGTGGTTTTGAATGACGTCAATCTGCGCAGTGTCTGCTAGTTATTTTAGCATACGGCAGTGGAGGAAGTGAATGAAGCCAGTCCATGTTGATAAAGCTTCCAAACTAAATTAAATTTGTCTGACAAAGCAGCAGCTCTCATTTACAGCCGTCTCGTTTGGCTCTGTACTTTTCTCCTCTCAGTAGGGTTGTTTTACAGCACACGCGATTTCTGGTTAGCTTCTTAGCTTAGCCTCCTTCACACCAACAACACACACATGCTTCAGCAGAGGCCATGCCTCCTGCAAGAAATGCTTTTCTATGAAGCAAGTCCAGACCCTTGTACGAAGCAAATTGAAGGACAGGGTCTGGTTTAAACCAGGCTAAGTAACCAGTGTAATGAAGCCAAAACAGGTGTTATATGCTCATGTTTCCGTGTACCAGTTAAAAGTTGGGCTGCAGGGAGGACTGATCTATGCCCTTGTACAATGAATTACAGTAGTCCAAACGTGTTGTGAAGAAAGCATCTCTAAAACAAAAAATAGGACTTCACCTTGGCTAAAAGACGTGAATAAAAAGCCTGATTTGACAATTGAATTCACTTGCTTATCCAGTTTCAAATGGCTGTCAAAGACAACACCAAGATTTCCAACAGCTGTCTGATAAAATGGAGATAAAGATCCAAGAATTGCATCAGGGTCACTTCCAGTATTTTTCTGTCCAAGTAAAATGAATTGGGTTTTGTTATCATTCAAATGGAGAAAGTTTGAGTCCATCCATGATCCAAATTGTCTAGGTCTAAGTAGTCAGAGGAGCTACAATCAAGGTGGCAGTAGAGATTCAATTTGCAACCAGCACATCTGGATCTTTGTGCCTCCCTATATTTTCACAAGTTCTAAATATCTGTCAAGTTTCAAGAAACTCAGCCCTCTACAACATTATGAAAATGTCAGTTTTGAGGACAGGTCACCAAGCTGCCCAGGCCACACACTTTGAAGGCTGCTAGCGATTAATATTTTCTGAAAAGGATTTAAACTTTACACAGCAATTTTGAAGCTGCTGGTTTGTGTGGGAGATTTTTTCAAACACAATAAAGCACTTTTATACTGCCACTAGGTGGCGCAGTGGTCAACTTACAACACTTGCATATGATCATATTCAGGACTGGATGCCTATCATGTACATTTTTGCACAGTATGAACAATTTACAGTAATGTTATCACCAACAATGTGTTCAAATAAAAATCAGTGTATTAAAAAAATCCCAAGCCCACACTAGTTTTGGAAAAGTTGGAAAACCTTTGTGCACCATCTTGTCAAAGAACTTTGGTCCAAACTTGAAGTTGATACGCTCAAAATTAACGATAAAATAGCGTCTGGCATCACGTGTGAGAAATGTATCTTTTTTTTGAAAATGGACGACTTCCTGTAAGTTTTAAAATATGGTGCCAAGAGACTTTTTTTGTCAGTACCAAACTGATGTACCTGTGCACCAAATTTCACATGTGTATGTTTAAGTCATAAGAGGGGCTGATGTTTAGCGGGTGGTAGATTTGCCATGCCCACATCTGAATATTTCCCATATTTACGCTGTGTAATGAATGAATGTAATATACAAATGTCACTTTTTGAATGTAATTACTGAAATTAATCAACTTTTTCATGATATTCTAATTTTATGACAAGCACCTGTATACAACCTAGAGTTAGTCAGTTGCAATTACACACTGCACATTCATTTTCACAACTTTAGGAGGAACTCTGAGCAACAAAATTATGCAGGAAACAAAGAGCTGTCAGAAAATGTGTTTTAGTTTGATGGACAGTAAAAAAAGCAGAGATCTGATTACATGTTAAACTCAGTTATTGGGGTGTTTCCAGTCTGATTGATGTAAATAGTGACAAAATGTTTAAATGTCTCAAGATTTAAATACAGCTCATGTAAACAAAAAAAAATCTAACACTTCTTTAACATAAAACTCAGACTCAAACTCTACTTTAGTGGTTTATTAAACCATCCAGGGTTTCTGATGTTCAGAATTTGCACACTCAGCATTTCATTTTGTTAAGCTCATGAGTTTCTCCGCTTCCTGTGTTACATAACTTCAAACCAGAACTTCTGTGCAGCTCAAACACACGTGTTCATGTTGTGCATGAGCTCGGTCCAGTATGACAATTTGAACATGGCCATGCTCAGGTTGGCCCACAGTTTTCTTGGCAGCAGTCCTGAGACCTCTGAACTCCCTCAGTATTGCTCTAAATCAGTGGTCCCCAAACTATGGCCCGCGGGCCGTATCCGGCCCGCCTCCCCATTTGGTCCGGCCCCCAGAACAATACCAGAGAGTATTTAGTTTTTTTTTCATATATGTGTATTTATATTTGATTATAAAGTTGGACTTTTGCAATAAAATGTTCCTTAGTTATGAACTATTTTCATTATTAACTATTATTAGTTAGTAACTATTTCATACATACACGCATATAACGTGACATTCTGTTCCACCCTCCTGCGGTCTGTGCCCCTATCTGGCAACCCCCAGAAAAAAATCCTAAACCCGCCCCTCTAGAAGAGAGAATGGAAAAATGGCGAAAAGATTAGGTAAGAGAAAAATTGATTCAGAATGCAGGGCATTTAAGCTGCAGTGGACAAACGATTACTTTTTCCTTTCATCTGTCAAGAGACGGTGGCGGTATTCAGAGAATACAATCTGCGGCGACACTATGAATCCCGTCACAAAGACAAGTATGATAGCTTGCAAGGCCAAATGCGAGCAAACAAACTCTCAAAGCTAAAAAGTGGACTGTTAGCTCAGCAGAATACATTATGTGAAGAACCCAGAGAGGGTTATTTGATTGTGCTTTCTGGAAAACAGTAAATTTTTACATTTAGGCACTCCTGCAATAGTCACACTTTTTCTGTTACAAAATGACTCCGGCCCCCCACCAGAGAAGGGAAAAGTTATGTGGCCCTTACAGGAAAAAGTTTGGAGACCCCTGCTCTAAATGATTCCACAGAATCACAACATGATACTACCATCACTGTGTTTGACTGTAGGAGTGTGTTTGTGTGAGCTGCTCAGTGCCTGACTGATTTGTCTGTCAAACTAATCAAATTAAAATCAGAACTTTTTAATATAAACTTGGAGAACTCCTGCTGTATACAGTAAACCTGTAAAACATACTCATCTCAGAAACTTTAAATGTTTTGTTTTATTAGCTTTAAGCCTCACCAAAGCTTTTTGTGGTTCCTGACTCTGTCTGGCAGATTTGTCTGTTCTAAACTGCTGCTGGTTTGTTTTGGTTCATATATAAACTGAAGATCTGTAGAGGTGTTTTTTTTAAATCTGTGTAGTCCCATTTTGATAAGATGGACCACTGACTGAGCTTAAAGACACCAGAGTTTAAAAGTACAATAAAAGATCCAAATGCTACATTTGAAAAAACAATTAAATGGAATTGAAACTTGTCAGAGACTAGAAACTACCTGTTCAGTTTATAGATGATTTTCCAGTTACTGTAAATCATTTGAAACCCAGTCTGGATTTTAGTCAACCTTAGACCTGAGGGCGCTGATAACACTGAGTGAGCTGACTAATCATTAAACCTTTGAGACTAAAGACTCTGTCAAGTTCCTGGTCTATAAAAAACATCATCCTGAGTTGAAGTGAAACTGAATGAACTGTTTAAAATCTGGAAGCAAGACTAAAGTCTGCAGACTTACCCCCATGTGGCGGCTGTTGGTGTCAGGATCCAGGTAGTGTGGGTTGATGTTGAAGGGGACGAGGCCGATGGCAGAGAAGCTTGGAGGGAAGACGATGGGCATGTCGTTGGTGGTGCTGATGCTGATGGTGGCCACATTGGTGCCGGCACTAGAGCCCATGTAGGGGACTCCGTCCTGCAGGATGAAACAGGATTAATCAGATTGATCCAAATAACCAACACTTTTATTAGACTGAAACTTGAACGTTTATTTATTTAATAACAATTTGTTTGACTAAGTGACAAAATCTTCAATCCAGACTGATAATTTATGTCATTTAGTTTCACCTCCATCACCCTCTTCCTGATCTCCGTCACCACCTTGTTGTCATAAAGACTCTTGAGGAGCCGGAAAGTGTTTCCTCCTCCTACAAACAAACACCTCAGTTAAAGAATCAGCCAGAACTGGACATTCTAAGAATGTGATGAAGAAACAACCAGGAGAAAAATGTCTCAGCTGCTTCCAGCTATCAGACTTCACCTATAAAGATGCCCTCAGCCTTTCTGACAGCGTCAACAGGGTCTGCAGCTTCATGGATGCTGTCCACCTCATAACCTGCAGGAGTCCAAACAAATCTGGCTTTTCATCACAGCTTTGCTCTGTTGGATGTTGGAATGTATTTAAAACTTCATTAACCAAGAAAGTTAGCTGCTTTCAGTCCATACAGAGGGCATTTCAGGTGTTAATTTAGATGATTATAGTGTCACAGAACATGAAAACACAAAATTCAGTTTTTCAGTAAATTTAAATTCTTGGTTAAGACCAATAACAAAAGGTTTTAATCCTGAAATGTCAACCTACTGAGAACTACGTAGGGGCACTGAAGGGTTATGGAGGCCTACATCCTGTCTGCATCATTGTGTGAGCTTTAGGACAGACATGTTTATTGTTATCATTATAGCAAGTATTTTTGGCGGTGCAGGCAGGAGCAAAGTCCTGCTGCAAAATGAAATCAGCGTCTTCACAAAACCATAAAAACCCAGTGGATCAATAGCCATAAACATTTTTTGGACTCTGAATCTGTCCACTCCTCCTCCAGACTTCTGAGGGTCTAATTTCCAAATGAAACACAATACTTAGCAATACTCAGGTGTTTTTTTTTTTTGTCCTGAACCTAAGTAATATGGTTCTGATGTCTCTGGTTGAGGAGTGGGCGAGGATCAGGACAGCTGTAGTCCAGGTCCTGGATCTGGTCCTAAGGCTCTGAAAAGCTCAAGGGTAGTACTATTGGTCTGATGTAGTATTTTCATTTTTACGGGAACTGAATTTTGTCTGCGTTTTCTCATTTGTTCACCAAAATCTCAGTGTTCTGGATTAGCTATTTTTGACAAAAATCCAAAAAATAAAAACAGAAATAGTGAAAAGAGAAAAGGACAAATAAGCTTCAATATCTACATAATTCCACCAAAATACTTAAAAGTTGACACTAATGAATCTCACCTAAAGATTGAAACTTGTTCCTGGCAGTCTTTGTATAGGCGTCTCTATCATGGAGAGCATAAGGAACAAACAGAACTCTCTTCACATTCCTACAGACAAACAAAGCTGTCACATACAACAGATCCATAGACTGACACAGTTTGTATTGTTTTATGTGATTAGTATGATGATGATTTTTGGATGAAATAAGAGATTTTCCGCCAAAACGAGTTAGAGTTCTGTCTTGAAGTTTTAATAAAACAAAATAGCTTAATTTTCTAAAACAAATCTTGTGTTTTTCATACTGTTGAAGAATAGCCACACAGCTGGGACCAGTCCTGGTGGGTCTCTGTCCTTCAGGTTTGACCCGTTTCTCTGCTCCAACACACCTGATTTATTAATTTACCTCTTCAGGTTCTGCAGAAGTCTGTTGATCACCTTCTTTATGCTCTGTGTGTGTGTGTGTGTGTGTGTGTGTGTGTGTGTGTGTGTGTGTGTGTGTGTGTGTGTGTGTGTGT